CATTCTTGCAAATTTAGCATCTTGGCTCCAAGGAAGTTTTGGAAGCTCATTCAGGTACTGTTTTAATGTTCAGTATCTATATTCATTTTAAATCCACTTGTGACCTGTAATTGTTCTGCTTTGTACTTCAGGTGGGGTATTTTCATCAAAGAAGGTGCCGAGAAAAATGATTTTATCTACGAATATTGTGGTGAGATTATCAGCCAAGACGAAGCCGATCGACGTGGTAAGTGCTCCCCTTCACTGATTTGTAGGATAGTTTTTAGTGTTGTTTTTATCGTTAAATGAGAACACCACTGCTGTATACAACATGCGTAGATCGGGTTTGAGAATTTGAATGGCTAGGGCCTTAGCAAATTCCGCAAGGTTTGTGTTTATTGCGTTATAAATGACCTAAAATGTGTGGACGGGGTTGACACAGTGTTTCTGTTCAAGTATATGTTGTGTGATCAAAGGTATGAGTCTTCTGCCCAGTCCGGTTTCAAACTTGTCATTCCTCGCTTCCTCGAGCCACATTAAGATGGTTTGGACCATTCGGCGACATGACTGTCACTCCGTCCTGCCTATGTCGATGGCCCAGACTCCAAAATTGAATCGTTGAATGCACTTTTATTTGGCGGAGATGACAATGATCCTCTAACCAATGTTGATATCCGGGTGGTAGTAAAGACGATTACCGCGCTACCTGCATCGTAGACTCGCTTGACGGGAGAGTTAAATCGCTCGTCAACTAATTAGGTGGTGTCATCTTTTTTGTATGACATTTTGTGGAAAAGCTTTCATTAGGGGACAGTTTCTCTATTTCTTGTGCTGGTTTACAATATCTGGTGTTGAATACAACTGGATATTCGTTTGTAGAGATTGGTTTCATCGTTTACGGACTCTTCTGTGCATATTTCACGCGCTCACTGAAATATTGAATGAGATCAGTTTTACATAGCATTGGAAGCTTGTAAAATGCATATGTTATCATGTTCTTTGGAAAGACAAATCTTTTAATCGATCCATTCGGTCGATGAGTAATGTTTGTACCTAAAAACATAGTGCAGTTCGTCGTGACGAGTTAGCTGGAGGTTTGGGTGAATTGTGTTCAATCGATTGAATGGTTTTCCTATGTCTTCTTTAGTATTACTTGTAATGAAGATGTCATCGACATGTTAGTATAGAATTAGCATAAATTCAACTGCGTAATAGATGACCTATGCAAACATTGTGAATAGTAAGTCACAAACTTTGCCTTAGTGATTAGCTTTTACTTTGTTCAGTTTTCCGTGTCGTCGGTGGTTTTCCCATAGTTTCTCTTCTTAACTGTACCGGGTGCTAAATAGGCTGAATATAAGATTGACCTTTAATTTATTCTTACTACAATTCCTAACTTAACAGTTCTGACCTGAGTCCTCCCTCGATCATGGGACGTTTTCCTTTTTTAATACGG